AGAGAGAGAGAGAGAGAGAGAGAGAGAGAGAGAGAATCTGACGGATGGATGGGTTCACTACTAAAATACATACAATTTTTGATAAGTTTCAAAAACTTTTATTCAGTATAGTATAAGTGCATTAATAAATAGTAGTGTTTAGTTGTCTCAATGTTTCAGTGTTCCTGTCCTTGAATGCAATTTTCCTCAAATCTATGATCTGATTGAACCGAAACCCAACTCTAAGACCAGATTTTGTGTGCAAATTGGAAGTGGTTTTCAAACTTGAAATACATCTACAAATATATGGTATATAAAAGTATACTATAATTAGCATTGAATTCGCAAAAGTTGTTGAGAGAGACATACATTGGGAACACACGTAATAATACATACGTTTACTCTTCCGATTCCAACACTCTTTCCTCTCGTGTTTCAAAATATAATCGCTTTTTGAATATTATATTCAATTTAATTTATATTTAATTTATATTGTATTTCGCGTTCAATCACTTCACGTAAGCATTTTCTGTAACGGTTTTTAATTTTATGATTTATGTTTTGTTTTTCAACAAATTTCTGTATATTTTATTCAATTTATTTAAATTCATTCATAATATTTATATTTCTTAATATATTTATAGTTTTATGACTTTTTCTGAGGAATTTCTAGCGTTTTGTGAATTAATTAATTTTGTTTTTCATTTGACAAAAAGGTATTAATAAAACAAAGTGTCTAAAAATGAGTTCAACTCTGGAACAGCTGCGAGCGATGACTGTAGTGGTGGCCGACACCGGAGACTTCGAGGCCATTAAGGAGTTTAAGCCGACGGACGCGACGACCAATCCTTCGCTGATTTTAGCCGCGGCTAAGATTCCCAAATATTCGGCGCTTATCGACAAAGCCGTCGATTACGGCAAGAAAAACGGCAACGATTTGGAGAAAACCATGGATTACTTGTTCGTACTCTTTGGCACTGAGATCCTGAAGGTTGTGCCCGGAAGAGTGTCGACCGAAGTGGACGCTCGGCTATCGTTCGACATCGAGAGCTCTGTGAAGAAAGCGCGACAATTGATCCAAATGTATGAGAAGGAAGGCGTGAAGAAAGAGCGTGTTTTGATCAAATTGGCGACCACTTGGGAAGGCGTCAAAGCGGCCGAACAGTTGGAAAAGGAGGGCATTCACTGTAATCTAACCCTATTGTTTAACTTCGCTCAGGCCGTGGCCTGCGCTGAGGCCAACGTGACCCTCATATCGCCATTCGTGGGCCGTATATACGACTGGTATGTGGCGAAGACCGGCAAAAAGGTGTACGAGAATCCGGCCGACGATCCCGGCGTCATAAGTGTGACCAAAGTCTACAACTATTACAAAAAGCACGGCTACAAGACTGTAGTGATGGGCGCCTCCTTCCGCAACACATCCGAAATCAAGGCTCTCTCCGGCTGTGATCTATTGACGATATCTCCGGTGCTTTTGGACGAGTTGTCCAAAGAGACGGGCGTTAAACTAAACCGGGCTCTGAGTGCAGAAGTGGCCAAATCTCTAGACATCCCTAAAACACATTACGACGAGAAGAAGTTCCGATGGGAACTGAATGAGGACCAAATGGCCACCGATAAGCTCAGCGAAGGCATCCGCAAGTTTGCCGCCGATTGTATCACTTTAGAGAATCTCATTAAACAAAAACTCAAATAATTGTTTGCCGTTCAAAGAGTCTGATTGTCAGCCATTATAACAGTGTTTTTCCACTTTTTATAAAAGTTTTTTTATGATAAAAATAGTATAGAATTTATATCTAATTTTTTATGAGATTAATGTAAACACTTTATATTGAAAATGTAAACTTATCTAACACTGGACTCTATGTGTGTTTTAATAAAATCTTTCAATTTATACCATTAAATCTAATTTTAAACTAATCGATGTTTTAATATTTGTTGCCTTAAATGTAAAAAATTACAAAATTTAACATTTTAAAATAATTTAAGGAAAATATAATTTAACTTAAAGGTACATTCAAATTGAAAGCATAGCAACAATCAAATAAATTTTCAAAAGTAGTTACAACTAATAATTAAATTTTATTTCTTATTATATGTTTACGCATGTAATTTTATTTTTATAATTTATTATAAGGTATTTAAAATATCATTTCGAAGAAAATGTTGCAGTAAATGATTATTGTATTTGTATTGACGTCTATAGAGGACTATAGAGGACACTATACGTGCTCTTAACAAATATTCAATTCTGTGGTCCATTCCTATTGACATTTTATACATCAATCCACTATTCCTTCAATTCTTATTCAATCAATAATTTATTTACAAATTTAAGCTTATTTTGGTTTCTTTTTTATAAATGATTTTTGAAATATATTTAATTACTAATAAAAATATATTCAAATGATTTTTAAAGTATTATAAATTTGGTTGAATTATTGATTAAAAAGTATATAAATTGTATCATTTTTGGGATTTTTTCCGACAATAATATTATAATTTATTATCAGATGTTTAAAAATTATATAATGTGCATAAATTTATTTTATAACTTTAATTCATTGAGCTTTGAATTTGTAAAAAATGTTTATATTTTTTAATTTTTGAATGAATGCCAAATCATATGCAAAACCTGTACATCAATGGGATATTTGTTTGAATAACTGTCAGACTTTGCACACAGGAGTAGTAATTATAATTCAACAAAATTAAAGTTTTACATAGTTTTTATAAGTTTAATGTCATTTATTAAAAATTATATTTAATGTACACTCATTAATAAGAAATATTATTGCTTTAATATTGATTGTTTGTGTACTAAACTGTTGTGCAAATCTTTTATACTTACGAGTTAGAAATAATAAGAGCTTTTGACATAATGAAAGTTTGTCCTTACCTAGAGTACAGGACAAACTTGTTATCAATTTATTAATATTATGATTTAGTAAAAGTTGGTAGATTAACAAATATAATTCCACTAAATTACGTATAAAATATAAACCATTTTTTAGTTAAACAATTAAAACTTTGCATATTTTACTAACAATATAATATACGGTATATTTAAAAACAATTCCTGAATATTTAATATTTTATTGGTTTTACATTTTAATTAAAGAAACTATTATTTTTAGTGTAAAGTATATTTTATGGTTTTGCATTCAATTTGGATAAATATATGAATAATTAAAATATTTTAAAATTTTAGAAAATTATTAATGAAATTACAACTTGTGCATTAAAACCTCGCAATCTAATTGAAAGTAATGCAGTTTTCATATTATTTTTATTATTTGAATTAAATTTAACATTAGTATTCAAAGAGTTTGTATGCAAATTGACAAAAATGCTAAAATATTTTATTTAAAGGAATTTAATAAAATTTGATTTCAATATCCAAGACAAGAAATTAATAATTTTCATGAATGCTTTAAAAATATAGATTTTACGAAACAAATCACTCGATTATTTAAAAGTGTGGTCAAAAATATGAGCACTTATTGAATGTTTTCGTGAAAATGTCTAAATGGAGTCAATTAGACGTTTAGTAGCCGTCAGAATGTATGTGCCATTCACGTTAGTGTGTATTCCGTAAGCAATTGTTATACAATAGGGCTAAAAGTAGGAGAAGTTTAAGTGTAATTTGTAGTCTAATTTGTAGTCTATTTTTACAGAAATGTAAGGTTTTCTGGAGAAGGAATGGATTGGATATAAGCGCTGGTGGTTTGTGTCGGAGGCCTGTAATCATACATAAATAATATGTCTCTGCGGAACATTCAGACTAAAGTTGGTTCGTTTAAATTATTCATTAGATCTGAGCCATTGCCAGCTGCCAGACCTGCCAGTGCTCTCTCTCTCTCTCTCTCTCTCTCTCTCTCAAAACATTTGCTCTTTCAGACCAATTCTCAAATTATTCACTGCTTTTCTCATTTGCCGTTATATAACAATATTTTTACTTTTACT